TATATTAATAAATGTTTTTGTGTTATTTATTATTATTATAGTAATGTTTAAATTTCAGTTACTATCGGTGATAAAAACGATGATAATTCGTAAAACGAACCCAACCGCATCTAGTCACTTGCGTATGAGCACGTTATATCTGTCCGCTGATTGATTTTACTCGATATTTGTTATTATTTATTATTATAGTAATGTTTAAATTTCAGTTACTATCGGTGATAAAAACGATGATAATTCGTAAAACGAACCCAACCGCATCTAGTCACTTGCGTATGAGTACGTTATATCTGTCCGCTGATTGATTTTACTCGATATTTGTTATTATTGTTATTATTTATTATTATTACGTGCCAAATGCTATACTCCTCATTGACTTTGTGCCGAATAAGGTGCGTTTTACTTATTACTTCTATTATTATTATACTTATTAATACTATTATTTATTATTATAATAATAATTATTATTATTATAACTGCAGAGTGCGAATGATCTGAAGTAGTCTACCCAATCAAGGCAGCCAATCAGTCACGTTATCGGATGACTGCTACTGCTGCAGAGGATACGAGTAATAAATAACAATAATAATAATAAATATTACTAAATAATATGTTCATGTTCTATTACATGATATAAATTAATAAATTCAAATTTACAAATCCAAAAAATTTTATTCCAACTCAAATGGCCATTCAATCGGTTAGTTTATTTGTTACTTATTTATCAAATCACCACAATAATAATAAATAATAACAATATTAAATAATAATAAATAACAATAATAAATAATAAAAATTGAAGGGCAGTCGGATGCCCGAGCAGACATCGGACTATCGTGTTGCAGTGTTCGGTGCGGGTGGGGTGGGTAAGTCATCCATAGTGCTTAGATTCGTTAAGGGTACCTTTAACGAAAACTATATTCCGACCATTGAAGACACCTATAGACAGGTTCGGCCTTTATTATTTATTAATTAATTAATAACAATAATTATCACTAATTAATTAGCTAATTAATTAACAATAATAATAAAACACTAATAAAGGTGATCAGCTGTAACCAAAAGAACGTGTGTACATTGGAGATCACCGATACGACCGGAAGTCACCAGTTTCCCGCGATGCAACGCCTATCGATCAGTAAGGGGAACGCTTTCATTCTGGTCTATTCGATAACCAGGTAGTACTTACCTATCATTAATTAATTAGCTAATTAATTAACAATTACATTAGCTAATTAATTAACTAATGTAACTGCAGCAAACAAAGCCTTGAAGAACTCGGCCCGATAATCTTAACGTTAAAGGAAGTAAAGGGTGAAGGGATTGCCGAAGTGCCTATTATACTGGTCGGGAATAAAAAGGATGAACAACAGGTTTTGCAATTCACTTATTATTTTTATTGTTATATTTATTTTTATTATTGTATATTATTGTTATATTTATTATAATAATAATATTATTAAAATATCTTAATTTCCAGCGACGAGAGGTCAGCTCTGAGGTCGGTGAGAAATTGGCCTCGAAATGGGGCACGGGATTCATCGAAACGAGCGCGAAAAATAACGAAAATGTCACGGAACTCTTCCAGAAGCTGCTGGCAATGGAGAAACGACGCACGTTGACGTTGACGATGAACGAGGACGGGGGCAAGTCTAACTCCAAAAAGAAATGCTCTCTGATGTGATGTAAGGAGGGACGAGGGGGGGAGGGTGCTGGGGCATCGCTCATTCGCATTATTTATTATATGTGATTCATTATTATTATTCCACATTTAAAATAATATTACTTATTACACAGTTTGAATTTCCCGCCCAATCGATTTGATGCGCAGGCACGCGTACACCCACGCGTCATTGTTGGCGCGCACGGTTCCCGAATGAGCGCGGAATTTAAATTGTAACTCTTAAATTTGTCACTCATTTACTGTTGTCTTTATTTTCCAATTACTTCCTCTCTAAATTCACCTTCTACATTGTTTTCCTATTACTGTTGTTATCATTACTATTATTACTGTTATTATTATTAATACTACCGTCATTACTCC